AATTCAAAAAAACATTAGGTTACTGAGGGTATTTACTACAGATAACCCAATAGCCTTTGATGGATTATTTTTTTTCTGAGTGTTTTCAGCTCAGATTTGCTAGCCCATTGATTGCCTTGTCTCTCACCACAGCTGACAGGCTAGCCAACGTGGTAAGAAAACTTATTTCACTGCGGCTTCTCCAAAGAGTGTACCTCAGCCCCACTAGTTCTGACCATAAATACTACTGACCTGTGAGACAATACTGACATGCTGTTCCTATCTCAATGACATAAACAGTCCTCCGTAATACATGGGTTTGACATAGAGGAAAGATGGCTTTGGACAATTTATGGAAGGATGTTTAGAAGTAATTTTTGATCTCAAAATCTTACATATGGGCACCTTAAGATGGTGGACTGACTCTTGATTGGAACAAGTGATACGTTTTCTCTGTCCTTGTTGCGATACCAAACATACAATCTCAAATTATTTGAGTGATGTTTAAATCCTACTGTTCATCTGGTTGCCTGGGGAGCTCTCAGACGTGGGGCATCAGTCCATCTGGCAGAGTTGGGGTCAAGGTACAGCTTTCTTCTAAGTGGACATCTTACATAAAATTACCCTACGGATTGCAGGAAAGATGGGTGCTCCTCTGTGTGATCCCTCCCCCAAAACGCACAATATACACCTAGACGGCTTCAGGAAAGTTAACTGGCTGAGCCCAGAGGTACAAATAAACCATCTAAGTATTTTAATATATATTTTAATAATATTTTAACTGTAAGATACTGAGCTCCTTAAGAAGAGACACTTCTGAATTTTCACAGAAATGGCTTCCATAAGAGTGACACTGATTTCTTTTCATCATCTGTAAAACTCTCCTGTGGCTATTGCTACTCTACGTGATAGCACTTGGATACCAACAGATGGGGACCCCTTTGTACAAGATATAGTAAATTCCTGTCCTGGCAGAAGATTATCACTTTATAAATCAAGTTCTGCCAGCACTGAATTGTTTCAGTGCTTTCCTATCAGAGTTGACATTTATGAATATCTTAGCAGAAAAGCTGCCTAAATAGCAATGAATGAATGAGTGATTGTACAAGGAGCTGTCATTGAGAGAAATGCATGTTCTGTCATTGGGAGCAAGAATTCAACCAAGCTGTCACACTCTCTTAATAATTGAGCCAACGTTGGAAATTAATATTTTTTTTTTTTTCTCTCCCTCTTTACTAAAGACCCATTTAGAACAGGGAGAAGAACTTGGTAGCTCCTATGAGTTTTGGTCCTCAGCAGTGTGATAATAGGATAGTATAAAGCACGTGAGTTCAGTCTAGGTGACCCGGACTGTTGAAATGAGCTCTGGGCCAGGAGATGGCTTTGAATGGGACCCAGGTGAAGTAAGTGCCCAAAAGCAAAACATATCTGTACTTAATAGCAGTTGTCACATAGGAAGATCAATTCATCAGTATAAAAAATAGATATAATTTATTTTTCACATGAGAGAAAATGCTACTGTACAAGCTTACTGATTACCTGAAGTTTAGTCACCTAGTGTTCTAGATAAATAATCCCTGGATAAAGCTTAGGGTAAGGTTAGACATCACCCCCCTAATATATTTGTTTGCTTCTGTGACTTGAATATCCTTTTATTTAGAGAGTCATTCATTCATTCTCCCTCTCCTTAATATTTTTCTTTTTGAGTACAATTGTTTCTCTCTTTGCTACAGAAGAGCTCATTTTCAGTTTCCTCTTTGGGACTTGATTCAGGACAGAACTTCTACATACGCTTCATTAAAAGTTTAATTTATATTGCTTAAGCTTGTATAAGTTGTATGTTAAACTACTGAACACGCTGTGTGCTTTTGTGCTGCTGAATATCAATATTCCTCTTACAGTTGTAAAAATTTACCCTCCTTGTGGTGCAGCTGTACTGATACGATACTAGCTGAATTGACTTGATTCTGTTCAATATTTTTGTGTCAAAAAAATGGTGAAGATAAGATTTGTCTGAAGGTTTTTGGTATACTTTTCTGCTGAAGCATTGATAAGTGGAGAAAGATCAATGACGTAAGTAATTCAAAATACAAATACGTTCACATGAAAGATGTGATTCACAGTATGTGGGAGGCAGATTTTATTTGTCGTTTGGTGCTTTTTATTTTGACAGATATGGAAATATAGGTACAGAGATTTTTCAAGTGCCAAAGTTTAAATCTGTAATGTTTATGATTACTTAATTAGGTTTCCTACTTTGAGATATATTTGGACAAAATAAGGGACCTACTTGATGGTAAGTTCTGCATTTCTTGCGTGACTAAGTGGTGTTGGGCTTGGTATAGTGCTTTGAATCCATGCCTAAGGGGAAAGAGGTACTTTCTTTGAGGGTGATTTAAATTTAAGCTGTATGACGGTTTGCGAAAGAGAATTCTGCAGTTTAAGTCAACTGATCTCTAACTCACTCACCTACCTCTGCAGCGCTACATAGCTTGATTATAATCAATGAGTACAGAGAATTTTACAGACTTGAAGGCGTGGCTGAGCCTCATTGGCAATGTGTATTCTTGAAGTAAGACTGCATTCTGTTGAGGTTTTTTTGTTAAATTTAGAGTACATTTGGTTCAACTTACTCCTTGTTTTGCTTCAACAAACTCTACCTGTCTCTCCTACGATTTGTGTGTCTGTATATGCATGCTGTATGTTGACGGAAGTGTGACTTGTGTGTGTTGAGTCACTCTGAAGATGGAGAAATGTATGTGAATGGTAACGCAAACCCGGGAACATGTAGTTGAGCTTTTTTAAATTCCAGTGGGTTCTGTTTGTTTGGAAATTTTTTGCTGCTTTGGCAAAATCCAACTTGATCTGTGTTTATTTTATTAATCCAAGCAATAAACAGAAGCTCTTGTGCCATAAAGTTAACTTTAAAGAAACAGGTACAAGATTGACAGAACAAGAAACAAGTTTTGTATAACAGAAACATTGGTAGTTAATAAGGAGTGGGAAGCGACTATGACCCCCGTTTAAAATTCAATACATTCACAGTACTTGTCCGTCATGCCTATAGTTGACACTTTATTACCTGTGGAATACTCGACCTTCATCTTTTTTTTTCTAGTGTCGAAGACAAACCTCGCTGTACATGAAGATAAAAACAGAGTCCCATATGTTAAGGTACGAGGAAAATTTGATGCTCTTTTTTTTCGTTCTTTCTCACATATGCATTTCTTTACACGTTTCCATTTGTATCCCAGCACGTTTGCTGAGATGATTCAACTCATGTACAGAGTCTTGAGTGTTCAAGTAGTATTGGTCCCTGAATTTAAACAGTTTCCTGAAATATTAATGGGCTTGAATCATGTTTGCTTTATTTTCCTGACTTTAAACATTTATATTTTGTTTGTATAGCGTTAAACTTTAAGTATTCATATTCCCATTTCATGCTAGATATGAAAGAGAATATTTTGAAGAATTTTGTTCTTTAATGTTTTGTTGCATAGGTGCTGTAATCTGACAATATTTTAGAACAGATTGGTTGGGTTAAGACTTTGTTTTATGACTTCCTGGGCTCTCACTTAAATGTAATATGTTTGTTATGAACTTATGTAAGCCTTGATAATATATGTATAATATTGTTCTGTTTATTCTCATCCAGGGGAGGGGAAAAAAATGGTTAAAATAATTCAGTAATATTGCATTAAGGCAGGGAACAAGGGCTATGCATCTTGTCTTGCAGTTTGAGAAAGAAAAAAACTATGTATGTAATCTAACCCAAATTAGTAACAGGAATATATGCTGTAGCGTTCCATGTGTTCCAAGTATAGAAACTCTCTTTTGCTGCATGTTTGGATTTGACTGAGTCTTTAATCTTGTGAAAGAAAGTTGTCTCTCAAGTTAGCCTGTGGACTCCTCCTGAAAGTCATACAAAGGCATGTTTTGGTCCATTGCCTCGCTAATGATCCTGTTGGATGTTGATGGTTCTTCTAATTATTTTGTTCATCGGTGCTAAATATTCTTCCTGATGGAATTTAGAGTACTAGGACACTTCCTAAAGTTTTCTGTTTTCAACTTGCATATTTCTAGGGTTGTACAGAAAGATTTGTGTCTAGTCCTGAAGAAGTTTTGGATGTCATTGATGAAGGGAAAGCTAACCGCCATGTAGCTGTTACAAGTAAGTATTCTGTGGAAGCTTTTCTGGCTATGGAGTGTGGGTGCTTGCAGCTTCCTAGTGGTGCATTGATTCTCCATGTTCACAAAGTACTTTGAGTTACTTATGTGAACGATGTAATGATGCACAAATTATAATGCTCTAAAGTTAATAGGGCTGTACTTATTTTACCGCTTCACTGCGTACAGCAACATTTATTGGCTTTCAGCTTTGAGAGCTCCTGAATTTAATACAAGGCATTACATGGTATTGTTATATAAAAAGTCAAAATATCTATTCTTACATGTAGTATAGATATTTTGAAATGATGTATAACTGAGATTATGTACGTACGTTCTTTTTTGTGCTACACAAGTCAAGAACTCAGAGCAATTCACTGGTCAAGTGGCAGGCAGGGACTGCAGTGATTGTCAGACTCTGCTCGTTTCTCTCCTGCAAGTTATCCCAGAGAAGCGGTGACTTGGATTGAGTTCCGTGATGGCAAAGCAAACAAATCTTCCTGAAGTAAAAAAACATAATAATCGCTTCAGCCTGTGCCAAATTTGTTGCCGTTACGTTGCATGCAGCCTACTAGCATTACCGTGATAAGAAGGGCAGGTATCTTTGCTCTGTTTCTCAGTTTATAATGTAAGATGTCTTTGGTCCAAGCAGTGAGCTTGGCAGAACCTGAGCTTGTAACTCAAGTCTTTGTGGTGGGGTGGGTTTTTTGGGAGGGATGGGTTTGCTTGTTTGAGGTTTTTTTGTTGTAATTTTATTTTCTATTTTTTACGGCGCACTGGGTAACTTCTTTCTCTCCCATGTCTCTGCCTTCCTGCTTTGGTAAACATCGTATTGCTTTAGCTTTCCCATGCCTTTCTCATCATGCTAATAGAAACATGTTCTCTTTTTTTTTTCTGAGTAACACTTCCTCCCTTTGTTTCTGCTCTTCTCTCTGACAAAAAATATCCAACTACACCTTTTATTGTGATACTGCCTGTTGCATTTGGTGCACACCAAAATGTTCTGACAGAAGTTGACAGAGAATGAATTTTACCTAGACTGAAAAAGGCGAGAAGCAAATTTGGAAGTGTTAATGAAAAAAATGAGTTTGGAGATGGAGGGGAAAAAGGGAGTTCAGATAAATATAAATATTGCTGTGAATGTGAATGGGGAAAGGTGGTAGTGGGTTTCAAAGTAACAGAGAAAATAGATGAGAAAGTGGTTTACTGATTCTTAATGTTTTCTTTTTGCTACTTTATGAAACTTCAAGCATGACGTGGTTACAATCAAACTTAGAATAAGCGGAAGCTGAAACTGTAACTGCCTGTGTTTTACCTGGTGCCTGGGCGAAGGAGGATTTTTAATTACATAAACAATAAAAATCACTGTGAAATTTTAATTTAAATAGTCTGATTTTGATGAAAACTTTCGCTAGAATGTTGGGAGATCTCCTCACACAATTGCACTGAGACCTGCTCAGCTTCTTTTTATTGCAATTATTACTTCTCTTTAAATTCTCTTGCTCAACTCAAAATTATTGCTCTGTCCAGGATGCTGAAAACACATCCTCATTGTAGCTCTATGTCTAAATAGTGTCTGTTATATCACAGCAGGTTTTTGTGTGAGCTGTCTATACTCAATGAAGAAGCATAAAAGAACAGAACCTTTATTTCTTACTGTATCTGTGTAATGATATTTTATTATTCTTATGCTATAGGTTTTTTCTTATTTTCTACTATTTCTGGTCAAATCGTATTGCTTCAGAACTTTCAGAAAAGAAAGAAAGCAATTAAAAAAAAAAAATCCTTTTTTTCCCAAGGCTACCATTTACCATGAATCTGATGAATTTGGTAATTTTAGGAGAAAGTAGGAGCTCATTCTGTCATCCGTGAGCTTTATTTGCTGCTCTTGGCATAGACACTGCTGTCAGTACAGCAGTCTGCGCTCTCCAGTGGATGGACTCGTACTTTTGAATTTGCTAGCCATAGGCTAGCTCTGATGAAATATAATTTCTTGTCAGGTTTTACGTCATTTAAACAAAGCCTTTCAAATGTGATTGCAGATATGAACGAACACAGCTCTAGGAGCCACAGTATCTTCCTCATTAATATTAAACAGGAGAATGTGGAAACTGAGAAGAAACTCAGTGGAAAGCTTTACCTGGTAGACTTGGCTGGAAGCGAGAAGGTAATCTTTCTTTTTCTTAAACTGCTGAATGATTTTAGTGGGATCACTGAACTGATCATGGGAATGCGTGTTGGTGCAAACTAAGCTAGGTATAGTTACAGAAGATTTATCTCATGTTATCATTAGTATGCCAAACTTTTTTTGTTTTTTTAATGTGGGATGGTGAAAAGGAACAAATCAGAACTGTTTATTGGTATGAAATGCAAAATCCAAGACTCTGCAACCTATCTTCATTTACAGTGGAGTGAATTGAACCAGTGTACTTTTATGTAGCTTCACATTTAGTTATGGGTATTCGAATAAAGTAATACACTTTGAATGTAACTTGTCATATTAGACTGCTATTTTTATTTCTTATATTCAGACATCTTATTTCTAGGTTTTCTATAATTATTTCACATATTATATGAATGAAATAACAGCAGTTAATGCAGTTATACAGCTGAAATCTATTTGAAGCTCCCTGAATGACTGTCTTGATTGTAGTGACTGTTTCTGCTTTCCAATATAGAGAAGTACTAACCAGAAAAGAACTTGTATCTCTTTATCAAAAGAGTAATGGTCTAGAACAGTACTGCAGTGGAAGAAAAGTTCTTTCTCAGTTCTAACTCTAACATCTTCTGTAGTATTCAAAATTGCTTCACTGTAAAATAAAATAAATGAATTTAAACCCCTGTCTTTTTGCAATGCTATGGATCCTTTATTCGAGCCGGATCCTTGGTATCTAGTCTGGATGTCAAAATAATTAAATAATTCCTCATGATGAAGCAGCGTGTCTCATTGTGGGCATGTATTTCCATTTCTGCCTGAAAACAAGGAGTAAAATGAAAGATTTTGTTTGATAGGCAGCTTTCAGAATGCTCATTGGGACACATTAGTTGATAACCCATCATTACAATGCGGAAGCCATCCGTCAGAGTAGTTAATCATGTTAATTTCTATCATTGCGTGTAATACTAAATGTTAAATTAAAAACTCTTAGTGGTGTTTAAAAAATGCATAGTCAGGCTACACTTCCGTGGTTCATTGTGTTCATTTGGACATAGTACAGAAAACCTGGAATAAGGGTTTCCTTGGTAGATTGTCTTCTTCCATGTCATGTGGCATTCATTTTTAGAGGAAAGTACGGATACTGTAGTTTCAGTGTAGAGAAAAATATATAGCTTTACCCAACGTTTCTGTGCTCCCCCAAATCCCCCCAAAAAAGGAGAGACAGAAAAGACTATAAAACTCTGTTGCTGTCTAAAGGAGTGCTGGTCCCAGGCCACCAAGTTTCTTGACTGGGCCACTTTCGGATCTGGTTTGTGGGCCAGTGAGCCATGCGTGAGTAAGATTATGCCTTTTGTGCCCTGATATTCTTGGTCCATGCAAGCAAAATACAAAGCCAAGGTACTTGTTTATTGGCATATGCTGTGCCACTGAGTGTGCCCCGAGGATCTGCCCAGGGTGTTTCCTAGCTGGGTGGATGGTCTGGTCTTGGAAGCGACACCCCGGTGTCCTCAGGAGAGCACGGACTTATCAGCCTTTCCCTTAACAAAGCAAGAGTGAGCTTGCTCTTACACTGGAAGAAAAGCAGAAGTATTACAGGCTTC